CCACACACTTTGACCAAGCAACCACTTGGGTTATAAGGTAGAAGGCAAACGGGGTGTGCCCCATACACAGTCTCAAGGTTCTGGGCTGGAGAGATGGCTTAGCTCTTAAAGGCTAAAAAATCAAAGACCAAAAATGGAGAGCAGAAGCCATGCTAAATAACACGGAAATAAAATGTGAGATGTTGTCTCACTAGTGTATAGACATCAAAATTAACAGCCAGGTGTGGACGCCTGTCATCCCAGCTCTGAGGCGACGTAATGAGACCCTGTCTTAAGGCAATGAATCTCATAAATCTTGTTTCAGAGGTGAAGGCAGGAGGTCATCCCTAGCTACACATTGAGCTTGAGGCCAGCCTGGGTACATGAGACACTGCCTCAAACAAAAGTCCCTAAACCAAACCCTAAAACAAACTTACCTCAGGCGAGAACCAAACCTAAGAAATTTAATTTTTTTTCTCCCCCAAACAGGCTGGGCATGATGGCGCACACCTTTAATTCCAGTAGTCTGGAAGCAGAGGTAGGTGGATGTGTGAGTTCGAGGTCAGCCTGGTCTACATAGTAAGTTCCAGGACAGCCACCACTGCGTACTGAGACCTTGAAAAAGAAACCAAAGGAAAGGTGATGAGAGGCTCATGCAGAGACCCTGGCAGAGAGCCTGAGGAGTGACCAAGGCGGACAGTACAGTGTGGATGGAATCTAGGGTTGACTGGGGACAAAGCTGGGAGACAAAGCACTACCCTCAGGACAGGACAGGACGCAGGTTGGTTGCCAAGTCGCCATTTGAGAAATGGGCACACCAGTAGCGGCTGATGCTCCTTCAGTCTTTGCCATTAAAGGATCCAAAGTGTAGCCTCCAAAGTATCCACTATATCCTCTGGCCCCGCCCCTTGCCTCCCTGCTGTAGCAGGCGAACAGGCTATTCTAGGCCTTGTTCACAACAAAGGCCTGTCACTGTGGGAGCTCCCCCTCCCCGCCAGTGCAGGACTTCACCAGAGAAGTCTATCTCCAACCCCTTTCTGGTCTTCCTGCCTCCAGCTCCTGACTGCTTCCCCTAACCCCCCAGCACTGCAACAACAACAATAATAACAGCAACAATAGCAGCTATAGCTCAGTTGACAGAGTGCTTGCAGTGCCTACACAAAGCCCTGGATTTGATCCCCAGCAGGAGGATCAGTAGTCCAAGGTCATCTTTGGCTACGCAGTGAATTAGAGGCTAGCCTGGGTGACTTGAGACCCCGTTTCAAAACAAAAAACAAAGGAAAAAAAAAAGCAGGAGTGAGTGGTCTGATGGCAGAAGTTTCCGCCCTAGAGCCTTAGCTTTCTAGGAGACTTTGAAGACTTTGCCCTACATGAGATAAGAGTCTAGCAAGGCAGTGATGGTGCACACCTTTAATCTCAGCACTCAGGAGGTAGAGGCAGGCAGACCTCTAAGTTTGAGGCCAGTATGGTCTACAAAGTGAGTTCCAGGACAATCAGGGCTACACAGAGAAACCCAGTCTTGAAAAACCAAAGAGAGACAGACAGAAAGAGGGAGGGAAGAAGAGAAGGAGGGAGGAAGGGAGGTTCTGCTTTCTCTGAGCTCTCTCCTTCTGCTGCAACAGGGCAGTTTCACCTCTGCAGACTCCACCCCTAGGAGTTGGCTCTGGCTTTTTCAGGTCACTGGCTCCCCCGTGAGGCAGCTCTGACCCGAATATTCACCTGTGCCGACTTGAATCCCACTCTCCTCCCACAGGGCACTCAGGTCCTGCCCCTACACAGGTGGGAGGGTTGGAGTTCCGGGTCTTCTTCCATGGAGCCCCATAGAGACAGAGGGAATCCTGCTGTGATCACACTACTGTTTAAAGGGTGGCCATCTCACCTGCGGAGAAACTGAGGCAGCTCTGGGGAGACAGAGGCAGGGTTTGAACACATGACAGGCTGGGAGAGGGAAGGCTGGAACAGCATCCATTGTCCTAGCACCAGAAGGGCAAGTGTTGGGGCAGAGCTTCGGAAGGGTGATCCTTCCAGGTGCACTGCATCGGGTCAGCTGGCAGTCACCCGAAAGGGACAGGAACCTTCACAGCCCATACCACTGACTGGACTCTTCATTCAGTCATTTACTGCCCAACAAAATGTGTGTGTGTGTGTGTGTGTGTGTGTGTGTGTGTGTGTGTGATAGACAGAGCCTCTTGTAGCACAAGCTGGTAGTAAATTCAGCATTTAGCTGAGACTGGTTTGGACAAGATGGTACAGGGCTCTTATTTCAGCTTGTGGGTGGTAGGAAGGAAGTTCAAATTCAACCTGTCACAAAAGAGCAGAAAAATAAAACAGACAAAAAACAGTCAAAGTCTCACCGTGTAGTCCTGGATGGCCCACAACTATGAAGATCAGGCCAGCCCCTGTCTGGCAGGTGCTACATTCCCAGCCCCTCACTGGAGGATTCTAGATGAGCATTCTGCCACTAAGCCACATCTCCCACTGGCAAAACTTATTCTTGCTGTTCAGTTCAATTCTATGTGTGACTTGAGTTTATTTAAATTTAAATTTAGTACAATGAATTCAGTTCTTTAGCCACACACACCACATTGCAAGTATGCAATGGCCAGCAGCTGCAGGGCTGGGGCAACCATGAGAAACTGAGTTTGGACACTGTCTTAGGGTTTCTGTTGCTGTGACGAGACACCACAACCAAAAAGCAAGTTAGGCAGAAAAGGGTTTATTTGGCTTACTTACATACTTACTTCCACAGCACTGTTAATCATTGAAGGAAGTCAGAGCAGGAACTCAAACAGGGTAGGAGCTAAGCCAGAGGCCCTGGAAGGGCGCTGCTTACTGCCTTGTTTCCCCTGGCTTGCTCAGCCTGTTTTCTTATAGAACCCAGGACCACCATGCCAGGGATGGTACCACTCACCATGGGCTGGGCCCTTGTCTGTCAATCACTAATTGAGAAAATGGCTTATAGCTGGATTTCACGGGGGCATTTCCTCAACTGAGGCTCCTTCCTCTCTGACGATTCGAGCATGTGTCAAGTTGACACAAACCCAGCCAGTACAGACACCCAGATATGTCAGCTAGACATAGCGCACATCTGTAGTCCCAGCACTGCAAAAGCAGGATGGGATGTAGGTTCAGGGGACTCCCTGGAAGCCCAGGTCGACTGGCAGGGTTTACACACAGCAGCAAACAACAAAGCAAGCCTACCTTGAGCAGGGTGAAGTGTGGACCCCACCCCCACCCCATTGTTTTCTAGCCTCCACATGGGCACTCATACATGTACATACACACACACACACATAGAGTGAGTTCTAGGACAGCCGGAGCTACAGACAACAAACAAACCAACAAACCTGTCTTGAAAACCCCCCAAAAACAAATTTAAATTTTATTTATTTCTGTGTAGGGAATAGCATGCCAGGGTGTAGTGTATGTGTGGAGGTCAGAGGACAACTTACGGGAGTCAGTTCAGCCTTTTACCATGTGGGCTGTGGCTGAACTCAGGTCATCAGGCTTGGCAGCAAGCACTTTTATTTGCTGAACCCCCCCCTCCCCAGTATCTATGTTCCCCTATGATTAAAAAAAATCAATTAACTGTGTATGTGCAGTCCTGTGGCAAAGCACTTCCGTAGCTACAGAAATCTGTACCCAGCACTGGGAAAAAGGAATTAATATTCTTTAGAGCAGTTTTTGGGCTCACAGTGAGCTCCAAGGGAAAGCACTGAGAGTTCCCGTGTGATGCCTGTCCTCATCCACCCACAGCCGCCCCCGCTGCCAACATGGGAAAGCTGGGTGCTCCATTTGTTACAAGCGATGAGTCTATCTCCACCCCTCCTTGCTTGCTGGCAGTGCTGAGGCTGCAGCGAGCACCGGGGTTTCCTCTTGATGCTGTACCCCTGTGGGTCCGCACACTTGAACTGGCTACTGTCGTAACTGATAGCACTTGGTCCTGCGGTGAAAACACTCGGGGGGGTTGGGCTGGAAGCGATGACCCAGCAGTTATAAGCACTCTGCTTTAGAAAAGGACTTGGGTTTGAATCCCAACACCCACATGGCAGCTCACAACTGTCTGTAACTCCAGTCCCAGAGGATCTGACATCTGTGGATACGGCATGCGTGTGGTACACAGATACACATGCAGGCAAGACACTCACACCCACGTGAATGTTTGTCTCTGTGTGTTTATGCACATGTATGTGCCAGTGCCTGAGGAGGCCAGAAGAGGGTGTCAGGTCCTCCGAAGCTGGTGTTACAGGTGATGGCAGGTGCTCTGAAGATCAGTACACACCCTTTGTTTATTTGTTTGTTTGTTTTTTGCTTCAAACTCACAGAGATCCACCTGTCTCTGCCTCACAAGTGCAGGGATTAAAGGCATGTGCCACCACCACCAGACAGCCAGCACACACTCTTAATTACTGAGCCATCTCTTTAGCTTCTTGAAAGTAATTTTTTAAAATATTTTATTTATTTATTATGTATACAATATTCTGTCTGTGTGTCTGCCTGCAGGCCAGAAGAGGGCATCAGATCTCACTTCAGATGGTTGTGAGCCACCATGTTGTTGCTGGGAATTGAACTCAGGACTTTTGGAAGAGCAAATAACCATAAGATAAAGTGGCCTAGGTATAGAGGGGAGGTAGAGGCAGGCGGATCTCTCTGACTTCGAGGCCAGCCTGTTCTACAGCTAATTCCAGGACAGCCATGTCTACGCAGTGGGACCTTGTCTTGACGCAAACAAAACAAGGTAGAGTAAGTCAGATGGTGCAGAGAGCTATCGAGAGTTTTAACACAAGTGAGGGGTAAGTTCAGGTAGGATGCCTGAGTGCTGTGACAGGTGGCTTGGAGCGCAGTGTGCAGGGCGAAACGTCAGGAGCTGGATGCGAGCTGGATTGACTGCAATCATTTGTGACCTTCTCGATGCCTCTCGGCCACGCCCAATATGGCGACAGCACCCGGTCCATTCGGGCGCTAGAGGAAATACGTACAGAGGGGCGCCGGAAGTGAGACTCAGCCACGCCCCTTGCCGGGGTTTCTGTGGAGCTGTGGCGGTGCCGGCTTCGAGCATCCCTGCCCTGGCAGGCTGGGGGACTCCGAGGCTGCAGCTCCGGCGGTCAGCTCCGGAGAGGTATGACCCGCGCCTTTCCCGCCCCGGCGGCTGGGGTCCCCTTGGTTCTCCCTACCGACCCTGGCCTTTCTCCGAGGCCCGTTTTTGGCCTCTCCTACCCTTCTCCCCAGGCCCCATCCTGTTCCCAGGCTCACAATCCGATGGTCAGGATGGACATTTTCACTTTGCCTCCTGAGTTTCTAGGCCTTTCCCCCATCTCCCTGGGCGTTGACTCAGCTCTCGCAGCTCTGGGACGTTGTCCTTTCTCTCCTGTTTTCTTGTTTATTTTACTCTGTAGCCCAGACTTGCCTGGAACTCAGTGTGCAGCCCAGACTAGTCATGAATTTACAGCACTTCTCTTGTGTTAGCCTCTGTAACGCTGGGATTACAGGTGTGTATCCCCACGCCAGGTTTTATGCCATGCTGAGGATGGAACCAGGACTTTGTGCATGCTAGGCAAGCACTCTGCCTACTCAGCCACATTCCCAGCCCCCGCTTCGTTTTTTCTGTCAGCGTAAGTGCAGCCCACTTCTTTCTGGAGCCTGATTGTGGTGTGGGGAGGGTGATAGGGTTTCGGTTTGACCCCAAAACTCTGATCTAGGTCCGCTGGAGAACCCACTGCGTTCTGTTACATGAGCGTACAGTATTTTCTCTGCAGTCAGCAGTACAGGGGAAGGGTGGAGGGTCTGGCTGCTTCCCTGTTGCTGCCTGCCCATCTGAGTTTTATATTTGTTCTTTCTTAGGACTCTGCCTGTGGGTGCACTTTATTTATTTTATTAGTGTGTATGAGTACTGGCATGTTCATGGCAGGGCATGCATGCAGACTTCAGAGGACCACTTTCAGGAGTTGGTTCTTGCCTTTCACCTGTTTCGAGTACTTGCTATTAATTATGTGTATGAATGTGTGTGTGTGTGTGTGTGTGTGTGCGCGCGCGCGCGCGCGCACTCGAGTGCAGGTGCCTGAGGAGGACGAAGGGATCACATGCACCTGGAGGTGGGATTATAGTTGGTTATCAGCCCCTCCCCATGTGGATGCTGGGAACCGAACTCAGGTCCTCTGAAAGAGCAGTGGTCGCCTCTAACCACTAAGCCTTCTCTCCAGCTTCTGCTGTTCTCTTTGTTGTTTCCACCATGGTGCATGCTCCAGAGTAGCTGCCTTCTGATTCTCCTGTCTCCTCCTGTCTGGGGGCCGCTGCATCCAACATTTTATGTGAGTTCTCGGGTTTCAACTCAGGTCATCAGGTTGGTGTGGCTCTGGGCACATTCCCCTCCCCACCCCCCCACCCCCCGAGACAGGGTTTCTCTCTCAAAGAGATCCGCCTGCCTCTGCCTCCCGAGTGCTGGGATTAAAGGCGTGTGCCACCACTGCCCACCATTTAAGTCTTAGGAGTTTCCTTGTGTTTATCCAGTGAGACTTTGAAGTGTTTTCCAGAATAGATGGAACATGGGTATGAGAACCATGGCTGGGGTCTGTTGGATGCTTCTTCCTTGAAGGAAACTGGGCCCAGAAATGTCTCCTCAATGGACAGGGAAGAGTGTGGTCCAGCTGCAGATGAACGAGAGAGGCGTGTGATGCTAGAAGGTCCGCCTCCAGCAAGAAGAGTTCCAGGGTAGCATTGCCGTTTTCGCGGCTCTTGAGGAGTGGTATGGGCAGGGATTAGGCGTGTCTGGTCATGTGGTCCTGTGGAGTCCTGACTCAAAAGCCTCTCCCTTCCTTGAGTGGGCAACATAGCCACCAGTAAGGTTTGAGCCATTGAAAATAGATCTTGTACTGTTGCCCAGGCTGCTGTCAAACTTAGAGGTTCAAGCCATCTTCCTGCCTCAGCCTCCTAAGTAGGGCGGGACAATAGATCCACAATACTGTGTCTATCTTATTTGTGTATGTGTGTGTCAATCTGTCTGTCTGTGCACATGGCTGGGTGCATGTGCAGGCCAGAGGTCAGTGTTAGGTGTCTTCCACTCTCTACCTTAAATTTTTTTTCTTTTTTTCTTTTTTTTTCCCTTTTTGAGACAGAGTTTCTTTGTATAGTTTTATCGTCTGTCCTGGAACTCGCTCTGTAGACCAGGCTGGTCTCCAACTCACAGAGATCCACTTGCCTCTACCTCCCAAATGCTGGGATTAAAGGCATACCCCACCACTGCCTGACCAAAAAAATAGTTTTTTTTTTAAAAACCAGGAGTGGTGGTGCCTTTCTTTAATCCCAGCACACAGTAGGCAGAGACCCTGTCTCCAAAAAAAAAAGTAAGTAAATAAATATTATTAATTTGGTTTTTCAAGACAGAGTTTCTTTGTGTAACAGTCCTGGATGTCCTAGAACTCACTTTATAGACCACACTGGCCTCAAACTCACAGAGATCCTCCTGCCTCTGCCTCCTGAGTGCTGGGATTAAAGTGCTGACTTTAATTATTTTTGAGACAGGGTCTGGTTATATAGATCACGGTTGGCCTAAATTTACCTCATAGAGATCCTCCTGCCTTTGCCTCACAAGTGTTAGGATTAAAGATATGTGCCACCACACCCAGCCCCCCCTTTCACCCTTTTTAATGTGTATGTGTGTTTGCTTGCATGTGTGTTTATGTACCGTGTGCATGCAGTGCCCACAGAAGTCAGAAGAGGTTGTTGGATCCCCTGGAACCAGAGTTATAGGTGATTGTCAGTCATCATGTGGGTGCTGAGAATTGGACCTGGGTTCTCTATGAGAGTAGCAAATGCCTTTAACAGCTGAGCCATCATCTCTCCAGAACTCAGGACTCTGGAAACGCAGCCAGTGCTCTTACCCTCAGAGCCATCTCTCCAGCCCCAGAGTAGTTCTTTTTCTTTTCTCTTTCCTTTTGATTTTTGTTGGGACAGGTGTGGTCAAAGCTGGCCTTTATAATCCTGCCTCCTCCTCCTCCAGGTGTGTGCCATCACACAGATACACGCGGTAGTTCTTAACTTAGGGCCTCGTTTTTTGCTCTGAGACAACACAGGGTCTGATAAAGAAGAAAATGGCTGGAGATGGCAGCTTTTGGCTCATGGAGAAGGAACTATTGGGAAGCACAGAATCAGTGTGTCCCGGGCCAGTACCTGAGTCAGCCTGGTGAACCATGAGGCCACTTCTTGACACCAAGCCCTTTTTAATTTTTGCAAGTTTTTTTTTCCCTTTCAGTTTTCCTGTGTTTGCATGTATGTATGCACATGCCTGTAGGATTAGAGGAATCCACCACCATGCTTGGCTTTTCAAATTCTCTAGCAAGCTTTGGAGTGTCATAGTTCCAAGTCAATCACATTCCAGTTAAGTTGCTGGAAGAGTCTGCTGTCTGAAGGGAAGGCGACCATGGCGCAGAACCGCTGTCATTCGGAGACGAGTTAGCCTGGTTTTGTGTTTCGTGTTTGTTTGTTTGTTTGTTTTCTCTTAGGCAGTAAAAAGTAATCCCTAATCTAGGGAGCTGGCTCCGTTGGCAGAGTGCTTGCTGTGCAGACGTGTGGACCCGAGTCTGCATCTCCAGCCCACATAAAGCAAAGCAGGTGGTGTGTGTCTGTGTCTAATCCCATGTAAGTGGAGTGAGACGGCTGGAATGTCTCGAGATGCTTCCGGAGAATATGATAGAGACTTGGGAAGACACTCCCCGTCCACCTGGGCTCCCTACACAACTCACACCATCACATACGTGTTGGACATGTTGTTACAACGTCACACACTCACAACAACAGTGTAAACAAGGAAATCCTTCTTCACAGTGGGAGTGGTGGTGCACACCTGTAATCCTAGCTCTTAGAAAGCCGAGGTTAGAAAATGGGGCGTTCCAGGCCTGTTAGCTCCATAGTGACATCAGAAAACTGCACAAGATATTTCATCTCCATCAAGTGCCCACCCTGAGTGTGGGGAGCTGGCCCTGAAGGTGGCATCTTGCTCCAGACCCAGGCTATGGTGTGTGTCTGTCTGTTCTTCTCTTCCTCCTTCCCTCCCTCCCTCCCTCCCTCTCTCCCTTCTTTTCTTGAGAAGGGTTTCTCTGTGTAGCCCTGGCTATCCTGGAACTTGCTCTGTGGACCAGGCTAGCCTCGAACTCAGAGATTCACCTGCTTCTGCCTCCTGAAGGCTGGGATTAAAGGCCTGCGCCATTACCACCTGGCTATTATGATAATGATGATATATATTTGTGTGTGTCTGTTTTGGGGTGTATGAGTGTAGTTGCCCACAGAAACCATGCGATTCCCTGGAACTGGGGTTACAGGCAGTCAGGAGCCATTCAACATGGGTTCTGGAAGCTGAACTCTGGTCCTTAGCAAGAACAGTATGTTCTTATAACCTCTGAGCCATGACAACCTTAGTTTTATGAGAATTCCATAGTGGACGAGGGAGCCATGACAACCTTAGTTTTATGAGAATTCCATAGTGGACGAGGGAACCGACTTTACACACCTTTACAAATTGGCTTCCACAAGCGCTTGTGCACCAACACGCACACACTTTCTCTCTCTTCCACCGTTTTTTGACTTAACACAGGCCCTTGTGCACCAACCCTCTCTCACACACAGACATACACACACACACACAATTACATATATAAATGTAAAAAAGAGGGAAAATTCAGTATAGTATGCACCTGTGAACATTACTGAGCATCTTGTGTAAAATTTTGCTCCTGCTCTAGTAGATGTGTCTGGGAAGCAGAGTGGGAGAGGGTAGGCTGTGGCTCAGGGGCCTGTATGCACCATACTGTTCACTGGGAAAGGCTGTAGAGGGCTGGCATGTTGCTTGGCTAGAGTACAAGCTCGCCTAGCATGCGTGAAGCCCTAGGTTCCAGTCCCAGCACTGGGTAGACTGGGCCTGGTAGTGCGTTCCTGTGATCCCAGCACTTGGGAGGTGGCGATCAGGAGTCCAGGGTCATCCTTGGCCAGTTTGTGGTCAGTTTGGGCTATGTTGAGCCCCTGTCAGGAAGGAAGGTAGGGAGAGAGGGAGGAGGGAAGGGCGTAGAAGTGATTGTTGGGAGCCACGTGTGATGGTACATGTGTATATTGCCAGCACCATGTTCTAGCTCAGGCTGGGCTACCTAGTGAGTTCAAGGCCAGCCTGGGCTATATGGCAACCTGTCTTAAGGGATTTGGTTGATGGTGGCCGTCAGAGGTTCTTTCTCACTGGTGTGTAGTTCTAAGAGGAGATTCTGGGGAACTCTGTGTTCTTCACCCTTGAGTGAAGAGTTAGTAAGATTTTTCTGCTGTGGGGGCAGGATCCTCCTGTTTGTGCATCCCCAGCATTGGGGTTCCAGACATATGCCACCTTGTACGGCTCTTTCTGTGTGAGTGCTGGGGATCCAAACTCAGGTCCTCTCCTTGTTCAGCTAGCATCTAATGACTGACTCCCTCCTCCCTCTACTGTCCCCGACTTCCAGGACATGTCCAATGATGATGATGCTGCCCCCACAGCTGCAGAGGCAGCAGGTGACATCCACCTGCTGGGCTTCTCGGATGAGATCCTCCTGCATATCCTGAGCCATGTCCCCAGCACAGACCTGGTTCTCAATGTGCGGCGCACCTGCCGGAAGCTCTCGGTCCTATGCCTGGACAAGAGCCTGGTGCACACTGTGCTGCTACAGAAGGACTACCAGGTGAGGCAGGCGTGGGCGGGAAGTCGGCGTCAACCAGGGTGCCAGCCTGTGTTTGCCCAGAAGACTGTAGCCGGGAATGGTCAGTCACACATTAGGACACAGTGACAGGGCCAGGGTAGAAAAGGGTAGGTGGGTGTCCCACGCAGGAGGGCATAGAGCCTGTGGATGTAGTGACAGGAATCAGCAGGAGGCCTCCTTCCCCAAAAGTACCCTGGGGTGGAGTTACTGCACCATAGGACAGATTGTAGAAGGTCCTTGTGAAGCGCCACGGGGTGGGGGGGGGGGGTGTCGCAGTTGACACTGCTGCAGAAGGGCGAGGGGCTGAAGTCTCTGATTAACCTGAGATATGAGCCCACTATGGTAGGATACACATGTAGTCCCAGCACTCAGGAGACTGAGGCAGGATGCTCACAGCTCAGACCAATTCAGTAAGGCCTTGTCTCAAACAAAAACAAATAAACAGCCCAGATGTGTGTGCCTGATGGCATAGGCCTGTAATCCTACCATTCAAAAGCTGAGACCGGATCTGCAAGTTCAAGGCAATGGTGGTACATGCCTCTAATCTCAGCACTTAGGAGGCAGAGGTAGATAGATCTCTGAGTTCAGGGCCAGTTTGGGCCACAGAATGAGTTCTAGGACAGCCAAGGCTGAGAAACCCTGTCATCAAAACAAAACAGAACAAAATGCAGCAACAGTTTAAAGAGAGAGAGAGAAAGCGAAAGAAAAAATACAGCTTAAAAAGATTAGTTAGTTTTAAGTGTACCCATGTGAGTGCTTTGCCCCCAGAGCCCAAAGGTATTGAATTCCTCTGGAGCTGCAGTTCCAGGCGGTTGTGACCCCCTGGTATGGGTCCTGAGAGCAGTACTCGGGCCCTCTGGAAGAGCAGCGCAGACCACTGAACCGTCTCCTTTCCCAGTCAGAGCTTTCAGTAAACTACTGTTTTTCTTTTTGAAACAAGAATCTAGGCTGGGCAATGGTGGCGCACGCCTTTAATCCCAGCACTCGGGAGGCAGAGGCAGGTGGATCTCTGTGAGTTCGAGACCAGCCTAGTCTATAGAGCTAGTTCCAGGACAGTCTCCAAGGCCACAGAGAAACCCTGTCTCGAAAAAAGAAAAAAAAAAAAAAAAAAGAGTCTAGCTATGTCCAGATTGGTGTTAAACTCGTAATGCTCCTGCCTCAGCCTCCCATGTGCTAAGATGACAAGCGTATGCTACCAGGCCTGGGTAGCAAACATCTTGTTTGTTTGTTTGTTTTTTCGAGACAGGGTTTCTCTGTTGCTTTGGTGCCTGTCCTGGAACTCACTCTATAGACCAGGCTGGCCTCAAACTCACAGAGATTTCATCTGTCTCTGCTTCCCAAGTGCTGGGATTAAAGGCATGCACCATCATGCCCAGTGGTAGCGAACATCTTTCTACTTTTCTTCCTGGGCATGGGGTTTCTTCACTGCTGGCAGCGTGAAGCTTTCCTTTGCTCTGAGCAGGAGTGGGGAGTAGCCCTGGACACCCGTCTCTCCTGCCCTGTCCCCATTCTGCAGGCCAGTGAGGACAAGGTGAAGCAGCTGGTGAAGGAGATTGGCCGAGAGATCCAGCAGTTGAACATGGCGGGCTGCTATTGGTTGTCCGGCTCCACCATCGAACACCTGGCCCGCTGTCACAGTCTGGTAAAGATGAACCTGTCAGGCTGCCACCTCACCTCCCTGCGACTGTCCAAGGTGCTTTCGGCCCTGCAGCACCTGCGCTCCCTGGCCATTGATGTGAGTCCCGGCTTCGATGCCAGCCAGCTGAGCAGTGAGTGCAAGGCCACCCTGAGCCGTGTCAGGGAACTCAAGCAGACACTTTTCACACCATCCTATGGTGTGGTGCCCTGCTGTGCCAGCCTGCAGAAGCTGCTGCTGTACTTCGAGATCCTGGACCGCACACGTGAGGGTGCTGTCCTCTCAGGCCAGCTCATGGTGGGCCAGAGCAATGTCCCCCATTACCAGAACCTGCGTGTCTTCTATGCCCGCCTGGCCCCTGGCTACATCAACCAGGAGGTGGTGCGGCTCTACCTCGCCGTGCTTAGTGACCGCACGCCTGAGAACCTGCATGCCTTTCTCATCTCTGTCCCTGGCAGCTTCGCAGAGAGTGGGGCCACCAAGAACCTGCTGGACTCCATGGCTCGCAACGTGGCCTTGGATGCCCTGCAGCTGCCGAAGTCGTGGCTGAACGGCTCCACCCTCCTCCAGCATATGAAATTCAACAATCCCTTCTACTTCAGCTTTAGCCGGTGTACGCTGTCAGGTGGTCACCTGATCCAGCGGGTCATCAATGGGGGGAAGGACCTGCGCAGTCTGGCCAGCCTCAACCTCAGTGGCTGTGTGCATTGCCTGTCTGCAGACTCGTTGCTCCGTAAGGCAGAGGACGACATTGACAGCAGCATCCTGGAGACGCTGGTGGAGTCCTGCTGTAACCTGCACCACCTCAACCTCTCAGCTGCCCACCACCACAGCTCCGATGGCCTGGGCCGCCACCTCTGCCAGCTCCTGGCCCGCCTCTGCCACCTGCGTTCCCTCTCCTTGCCCGTCTGCTCCGTGGCCGACTCAGCACCCAGGCCTGACCGTGCGCCTGCCCCGCCGGCAATGCATGCAGTGCCCCGTGGCTTTGGCAAGAAGGTGCGCATTGGGGTGCAGGCCTTTCCCAGTCCCTTCCTGGGCCAGTCGTCCGCCCAGCCTGCCTCTGTGTTCTGGTCTCTGCTGAAGAAGCTCCCTTTCCTGGAGCATCTGGAACTGATAGGGTCCAATTTCTCCTCAGCCATGCCCCGCAACGAGCCTGCCATCCGCAACTCCCTCCCGCCCTGCAGTCGGGCACAGAACGTCGGGGACTCAGAGGTGGCTGCCATTGGCCAGCTGGCCTTCCTGCGGTATCTGACACTAGCGCAGCTGCCAGGCATGCTGACAGGCTCTGGACTGGTGAGCATTGGCCTACAGTGCCAGCAGCTTCAGTCTCTGTCGTTGGCCAACCTGGGCATGATGGGGAAGGTGGTGTACATGCCTGCTCTTGCTGACATGCTGAAGCACTGCAAGCGGCTGAAGGACCTGAGGTGAGGGGCTGTGGTTGGAGGGACCGAAGTTAAGGGGAGAGGACCTGAGGGGTGAGGGGCTGAGGACCCGAGGGGTGAGGGGCAGAGAATGTGAGGGGTGAGGGATGGAGAACCTGAAGTGAAGAGCAGAGAACCTGAGGGGAGAGACAGAGGGTCTGAGGTGTGAGGACCCGGGTGACAGCATTTAGTCTGCCACCACTCTCACAGGAACTCAGCCCCGCCCATTGTCCCACACAGTGCTACTTCATTCACACCCTTACCGTATTAAAAGTTGTTTAGATTTATTTACTTTAAGTTTTACATGTCTGTTTTGCCTGTATGCATGTTTGTGGTAGCACATACGTGCAGTGCCTGTGGAGGCCAGAAGAGGATGTTGGATGCCCTGAAACTGGAGTTACAGAAGGTTGTAAGCCACCATGTGGGTGCTGGAAACAGAACTTGGGTCCTCAAGAATGGCAGCCAGTGCCCCTAACCATTGAAGCATCTCTCCAGTGCAGGGTCCTGTTTCCCACACTCCCAAATCCTCCAATTTTTTTAATTAATTTATTTATTTATTTTTGATTTTTTGAGACAGGGTTTCTCCGTAGCTTTTTGGTTCCTGTCCTGGAACTAGCTCTTGTAGACCAGGCTGGCCTTGAACTCACAGAGATCCGCCTGCCTCTGCCTCCCGAGTGCTGGTATTAAAGGCGTGCGCCACCACCGCCCGACCCAAATCCCCCATTGTTTTGAGACAAGGTCTCACTATGTGGCTCTGGCTGGCCTGGAACTTCTGTAGACCAGGCTGGCCTTAAATTCAGAAATTCTCCTGTTTCTGCCTTCTGAGTGCTGGGCTTGAAGCTGTGCTCCTATACTCAGCCCCGAATTATATTATTATTACTATAATTACTATTATCATCATCTGTGTGTGTTTGTGTGTGTATACGTGGGGATACATTGCCAGAGTGCACACGTGGAGTTGGTTCTGTCCTTCCACTTTTAGATGGGGTCTGAGGATTGAATGTAAGTCGTTGGACTTCTACAGCAAGTGCTTTAGCCCTCTGAACCATCTTGTTGTCCACAGCTTGTCTCTTCAGAAAACTGGCCAGGGAGTTCCTGGGGGTTACAGACATGTGTTGCCTACCTGGGTTTTACATGGTTGTTGGGAATTTGAACTTAGAACTCAATTTCTTTCCTTTCTTTCTTTCTTTCTTTCTTTCTTTTTTTTTTGTTTTTTTGTTTTTTTGTTTTGTTTTGTTTTGTTTTTTGAGACAGGGTTTCTCTGTAGCTTTGGTTCCTGTCCTGGAACTCGCTCTGTAGACCAGGCTGGCCTCAAACTCACAGAGATCCTCCTGTCTCTGTCTCCTAAGTGCTGGCATGAAAAGCGTGTGCCCCACTGTCCAGTTGAACTCAGTTTCTAATATTTGCTAGCAAGCACTATTTTTTATAAAATTTATTTTATGTGCATTGATGTGAGGGTGTCAGTCTCCTGGAACTGGAGTTACGTACAGACAGTTGTGAGGTGCCATGTAGATGCTGGGAATTGAACCCAGGTCCTATTGGAAGAATGTCCAGTGGACTAAACAATCTTTCCAGCCTGCTAGCAAGTGCTATTACCAATTGAGCTGTCCCAGGCCCCTCATGGTGATTCTTGGAGCATGTGTCACAGTTGACTGGGGGCGTCAGACTAAGGTAGAGGGGATGTCTGATAGCATGTGCACACAAGCCTTGGGGTTCTGGAAATGTTTGTTGTGTGCACACACACCTGCAGTCCTGGCATCCCAGCATCCAGAAGGCTAAGGTAGAAGAACTGACTTTCTCCCCAAAGCCAGAAGCACAGAGCAGATGACAATGTCCTCAAACTTCCTTGACTCAAGAGCAGCCAGACCACTGGAGGAGGAAGAGGAGGAGGAGGAGGAGGAGGAGGAGGAGGAGGAGGAGGAGGAGGAGGAGGAGAGGGAGACAGGGCAGGAGGACAGGCAGAGGAGGACTGGAGAGCTTCAGCTGGAGCTGCTGCTGGTGCCCTGTGGGAACAAGAGCAGGCAGGATGGAGACTCAGATCATCTCTGGGAGAAATCAGATTTCTGGGAGTGATGGCCTTGAGGAGGATGGCAGGACCTATTCTGGAAAGTGGGAGGAAATAGAGCACACAACCCTCAGATGGCCCTGCCATGGGCCTTGTCCTTGAGAGTGAGTCTGAGCCCAGCCTGGGCAGCTTGAAATAAAATATTGACGTAAGGGTTGAGTACGTCGCTCAGTGGTGGAGCCCTTAGCATGCTCAAGACTCTGGGTTAAACCCCTAGGACAAAGATGACTGGTGTTTCCAGAGCCAAGCTTAGGCTGCATTCACACTGAAATACTGAAGTGAAGGATATTTTTGTCATTATCCAACATTTAAAGAATAAGGGTTCTGTTGTATCCCAGCACTACTCAGGAGGTGGAGACAGGTGGAGCTCAGTGAGTTGGAGTCCAGTTTGGTCCACAGAGAGAGTTCTAGAACAGTCAGGGCTAATTAGTGAGACCCTGTGTATTTAAAAAAAAAAAAAGTTTTTTTGTGGTGTGAATAGAACATAGAACAAAGGTCTTGTTCCTCTACCACTGAGCCACACCTCAGCCCCTCACTGGGGGATTCTAGGCAGATGCTCTACCAGGGAGCCACACCTCAGCCCCTCACTGGGGGATTCTAGGCAGATGCTCTACCACTGAGCCACACCCTAGCCCCTCACTGGGGGATTCTAGGCAGGTACCTCCTAGTCCTTGAAGTTTTGGCTTTTTGTTTGTTTGTTTGTATTTTTTTTAATATTTATTTATTTATTTATTATGTATACAATATTCTGTCTGTGTGTATGCCTGCAGGCCAGAAGAGGGCACCAGACCTCATTACAGATGGTTGTGAGCCACCATGTGGTTGCCGGGAATTGAACTCAGGACCTTTGGAAGAGCAGGCAATGCTCTTAATCTCTGAGCCATCTCTCCAGCCCCCTGTTTGTTTGTATTTTTTTTTTTTTTTTTTTTTTTTTTGGTTTTTCGAGACAGGGTTTCTCTGTGGTTTTGGAGCCTCTCCTGGAACTAGCTTTTGTAGAACAGGCTGGTCTCGAACTCACAGAGATCCGCCTGCCTCTGCCTCCCGAGTGCTGGGATTAAAGGCGTGCGCCACCACCGCCCGGCTGTTTGTTTGTATTTTTATGACAAGGTTTTTTTTTTTTTTTTTTTTGGATTTTTCGAGACAGGGTTTCTCTGTAGCTTTTTTGGTTCCTGTCCCGGAACTAGCTGTTGTAGACCAGGCTGGCCTCGAACTCACAGAGATCTTCCTGCCTCTGCCTCCCGAGTGCTGGGATTAAAGGCGTGCGCCACCACCGCCCGACTATGACAAGGTTTCTTTGTGTTCTTTGTGTAGCACTGGCTGTCCTAGAACTCACTCTCTAGGTCTGGCTGGCCTCAAACTCAGAGATGTGCCTGCTCTGCTTCCCAATTGCTGGGATTAAAGGTGTGCGTCACTATGCCTGGCTGGTCCTTCAGTTTTTGAGATAGGCTCTGTCTAGCCCAAGATGGTCTCTAACTAGGTGTCTCTCCATCTGGAAATACAGGCCTGCACCCCATGAACAGTGAGGGCCTTGCGTATTCCAGGGAAGTACTCTGGCACCGATCTGTCTCCAGCTCTTGTTTTACTTCGTTTTAAGCAAGTTGTTTAGGCTTGCTTTGAATCCACTACTGTCATCCAGGAAGGTCTTTAACTCTGATCCTGCTGCCTTCACCTCTAGAGCATCTGGGTCCTAAGTGTGCCCATCATGCTTCAGTTGTAAGCATCCTTTTTCCTGCTGGGGCAGGGTCTCTTGTGTCCTAGACTGGCCTCCTTTCTGTGCACCTGAGGATGACTGAGGTTTCTGGTTGTCCTGCCTCTGCCTCTCAAGTGCTGGGATTAATTCTCTGCCCCACCACACGAGGTTCTTTTTTTTTTTTTTTTTTTTTTTTTTGATTTTTTTTCGAGACAGGGTTTCTCTGTGGCTTTGGAGCCTCACACGAGGTTCATGTAGGACACACCACGTAGTGAAGTCCCTGGCTCTGGACAGGACTTGAGGACTCTGCCAGTCCATAGCTGCTGGTGGGTGGGTGGAAGCATCATCAGGGCCACAAAGCCATGTCAGCCTAAAGGGACTTGTACATGGCTGTCACTCTCTCTAGTACAGTTAGTTACTGCTTCTTTGGTGCCTATCTGAGGGTTTCTATTGCTGTGATGAAGTTCCATGACCAAAAACAGCTTGAAGACTTACACTCCTACACTCCTGTCATGACAGGGCTCAAACAGGGCGGGAACCTGGAGGCAGGAGCTAATACAGAGGCCACGGAGGGGGTGCTGCTTACTGGCTTGCTCCTTATGGACTTGCTCAGCCTGCTTTCTTAAGAGCCACTGCCTTCCATGAGCTGGGCTCTCCCACATCAATCACTAATTTTAAAAAAGTGCCCTACAGGTTTATCTGCTTACAGCCCAGTCTTATGGAAGCATTTTCTCAACTGAGGCTCCCTCCTGTCAGATGACTCTAGCTTGGGACAAGTTGACTTAAAACTAGCCAGCACCGGAGCTGTGCCTTGAGCAGGCGCAAAGCTAACCTTTCTCTCCCAGCATCCATGGCCGCTGATGTCAGATCTGAAGCAGGAGGCTCTTGACTACCAATCTGTCCTCAGGACCCACAAGGGAGGACAGGGTGTGTTCTTTGCCTTGCTCCCTGCCTAGCTTCAGCCTGACAGGAAGTCAGCAGGTCATGTGTTGCTAACGGCCCAGAACCTTCGAGAGCTGCTTGGCCAAACTGAGCTCTACTTCCTGTCCTCCTTGGAACAAAGCCACGCTATGGCTGTCTGGGTTTGAAGCCTCTGTCTTATCTGGTCACTTGCCCTGCTGCTCTGGCTTGATCCTCAGCTGAGCAGAGCTACAGCCCAGGAGGTCTCTGTGGACAGCTGGTATCCATGCCTGGGTGTCTTATGTCCATGGGTCCTCTGCCTTCTGGCTCTACTGGCTTTGGGAACCCACCTGTGGGCTTTCTTACACCCCCTTTTTATAAGTCCCAGTCAGTTGTTTGTGGTGACATATGCCTAAAATCAGGAGGCTAAGCTGGAGGATTGCGTTGAGTCAAGGTCAGCCTGGACTAGACTGAAACCTTGTCTTCAAAGGCAGCAGCACCCCCGCACCACCACTCCCAGACACACAAAGAATCAGATATTGTGACTGTACGCCAGCATCATTCCAGCTCTCAAGAGGTGGAGCCTGGAGCTCAAGGTCAGCCTTGGCTCCACAGTGAATTCGAAGCCAGCCTGGGCTACCTAGACTCTATTTGAACAACAAAAACAAGACAAAGTTAATGTGAGCCTTGGGTTCTCTCTCCCTTAAGAGCAAACTCTGTAGCTATAGTGGGAAAGTCTGCCACAGCCGCCGCCCCTCCTCCTTCTCCCACAGCTGCCTTTGCCTCTCCCAGGCGCACAGGTGGACGCCTTCCTTGGCTGCATCTGTAGTCACTAGGCCCTCCGTTTCCTTACTGCTTCCTTTGTGGTGTCTCTCACACTTGTGCCTTCCTGTGCCTGTCCTGAAGCCACGGTTAGGGCATGCATGGTCATTGTTTGCCAGAATGGTAAATGTATCACAGAATCAGGCTGGGGATGCAGCTCAGTCAACAAAGAGCTCGCTTGACAGATGCAAAGTCTGGGGTTCCAACCTCAGTGCCATACAAACTGGGTGTGGGGAGGAGGAGGATCAGAGATTCAAGGTCATCCTTAGCTACACAGTTTGGGCCAGCCTGGGCTACATGAGACTGTCTCAAGAAAAGAAAAGAAAGATGGATCAGAGAATATATTTGATGTATAACTCTCTGCTGGGCCACTGCTGTTGACTTCCTTCCGTGATTAGGACCATTTCCTAAATTCAAGGGTACCAGGTGAGCCTTTGAATCTTTCAGAGCCAAGGTCTTTCTAGATTTTTTTCATCTTGCCGTCAGTGTTTGTTTTCCGTGGGTCCAGCAAGCCTTGTGTTTTTGCAGTAGGTGTGATGGTTCACACCTGCTGTGTAGGGAGGCTGAGTCAAGAGGATTGTGGATTCAAGCCAGCCAGGGCTGTATGCTGGTTTGTCCCTGGGACCTGGCATCCTCTCCAGAGGCAGGACCTGTAGGACTGCGGATAAGTTTGTCTTGTAGGCTCGCAAGAGCTTGATGACAGTTCATAGTGGCATCTCTACCCAGGCTCCAGCCTGTGCCCACAACCTCAGAACTGTCTGCTGTGTGAGGTACTGCCTGTTCTGAACAAACACAGGCTCCCAGAGCAGCCAAATGGCGGCATTCCTCTGGATCACTGCCTTCTGAGCAGGCGAGCCCAGAGATGATGCAGCAGGTGGCAGGAGCTAGTATAGGCTCCAGAGTCTTTGCTCGCCAAGGAGTTGCTTCCTGGGGTTGCAGGGGCTGCATGGGGGCACCCGCATTTTCTTGGGGAGTGTTCTGATCGCAGCCCTGGGACTCCCAGGCTCACCTGCTGCCGCCTCCACCACAGTCTGCTCTGAACCTGAGCTCGTACCAGCCTGGCTCCCTGTGGGGTGGAGGTGCCACAGGGACAGGTTGTTCTGGCTGTGGGTTTGGGGCACACCCCTGTGGTGAGAGGATCACGTGTCAGGCGGAAAAGGGTGCCACCTTTCCCACGGCTGGAGGCGGGTGTTACCCTGAGTCACCCTCTGCTGCCTGGGCGGAAACAAGAGAGTCACTTGAGCCAGGGCTGGCACGGTCTCAGGAGCAGCTCTCAGCTGTCATTCTCCCTCATCCCGCCTGGCTCAGCGCCGCATCAGCCCCTTAAGCCGGAGGGGGTGGGCACATTCACCCCAGAGAGCTGAATGGCAAGGAGAGGTCCGGTCTTTGCTGGCTGGTGGTTTGAGCCGGTTGGGAAGGGTCAGAGTTAGGACGAGGTCTGATCTGGGTGGATCCCATTTCCTTGTTCCCTGTCTACCCTCAGGTGCCTCAGATGGTACCTCCTTTAGGTCAGTTTCCCAGCCGCCCTGGGTGCTGACCAGTCTTGTGCACAGGGGAGAGGGTAAGGGTGCATTGGCCCCACAGTTGGGGAGGGAGAGAGATAGGATATTCACAGCAGGCTGAACACTGACAGATTAGTTCTTTCAGGGCAAGGTTCTGTAAGTGGCTGTCTAATTGGAAAAGGTTTAAAAGTATGTACGGGACACATTACCGCTGTGACTCAGATGGCCTGGGGACACCTGGGCCTGTAGTGCAAGTCCATGCTGCCACCTACTGGTAGAGGTGATGGCTGCTGCCTGGCACTGGGATTCCATCCCCTGCTGCTGGGAAAGGGGAGGGGACAGGGACACACACACACACACACACACACACACACACACTGCTGCTGGTAACTTCAAGGTTCCCAGGGGCCCTGCACCCCTGCTTCCTACCACTTTCATACCCTATAAAGAAGCACTTGAGAAGCTGAGGCAGGAGGACCATTGAATTCAAGGCTAGCCTTGGCACCAGAGTGAGACCCTGCCTCAAAATAGAAATTATTGAGGGGTGAAAATGACTAATTTACGTAATGTGCGTATGCAAAACTGAAAGAATAAAACAAGGTTAAGAAAACTAAAGGGCCGGGAGTATGGGTCAGTGGAGGAATGCCTGCCTAGCCTAGCGTGTCTGAGGCCTAAGCTCAGTTCCCACACTGTGGAAAGCCAGGTGGTGGTGGTGGTGCACACCTGTAATAGCAGCACTTGAGAGGCAGAGGTAGGCGGATCTCTGAATTAATAGAGTGAGTTCAAGGCCAGCCAGGGCTGCACAGAGACCCTGTCTTGAGAGAAAAAAAAATCAGTTAAAATTAGAAAAAAAAAAATGTGAAGTCTGAGGTTGTAGCTCAGTAGTAGAGCCTGGCTGGCACGCTTGAGTGCCTGAGTTCAGTCCATGGCATCACGCTAACAAAAATGAAAAAAAGGGGGGTGGGGGGGTGGGGCCATGGAGAACTGGCTCAGTGGTAAAAGCGTATAGTATGCTTGCAGAGGACCTGGAATCAGTTCCCAGAAACAGGTGGCTCACAACCACTGGTAGCTCTGTTTCTAGGGGATTTAATGCCTCTTCTGCCCTCCTTGGGTACAAGGCACACACACACGGTACACATACGTGCAGGAATTCACACACATATGTATAAAATATAAATGACTATACTTTTTTATTTAAAAGGGAGGGAAATCAAAATTCTAATGTGAGTGTGTGTCACTTGGGGCTCTATAGATGATGTAGGTGACTGGCATCCTTGGTGAAGGGGAAAAGCCATTTGGCCCCCTACGTGGCCTAAAGAAGCTTCTTCATTGTGTCTGAGAACAACAGTAACCCTTTCATGGAACATGTGTGGCGGGGCTTGTGCTCTGGGATGACGACGAGATGCTAGCCTCAAAGCATCCCTGAGGGGCTTTCTTCCTTTTCTGCCCCTTTCCCACCCACTCTAGCCTGTTGGACCCCCACTTTTTCCCGGTTTGTCTCTGCCATCAGACTGACTCCCCAAGGCTGCGTCATGTGTGAATCCTTCTAAGGCCAGCAGGTGTGACAGTATCGGGGTGGGACAGCTTGCTGAGGAAGGAAGACAGATGGCCTTGAGCCAGTGCGAGCTGGCAGGGTCTGCAGACAGTGACTAGCCGCATCTCGTCCTGGGAGTCAGGATCTCCTCGGGAGAGCCAAGTCCCTGGCACTCACACCCTTCTCTCCGCAGGCTGGAGCAGCCCTATTTCAATGCCAACGCACAGTTCTTCCAGGCACTGGGCCAGTGTTCATCTCTGGAGCGCCTGTGCCTGGTGTCTCGAAGTGGTACCGTGCAGCCGGATGCCGTGCTGGCCTTTATGGCCCGTTGCCTGCATGTTGTCGTGTGTCACATGTTCACTGGAGAATCCCTCACCACCTGCAAGAGCCTGCAGCAGTCACTCCTCCGGAGGTGAGTGGCATGGCCTGGCATGGTCTGTTGGTGGCTGGGAGGTCTTGGACAGCATCAGTGTCCCCAGCCCAGCTCCCACTTTCGGGAGATGGAGTACCAGATCCTAGCAGCATGATCAGAGAGCCTGATCTCCTGCAGGGGACTAGTTCCTATAGATGGTCTCTGGTCTCAGCTACTTGGAAGGCTGATACACAAGGATCCTGGGAGTTCAGGGCTAACCTTAGCTACAGAGTTTATCCTGGGTTCTGGAGGCAGTCTTACTTAGTTCACTGTGTTTCTTGTGGGCCCAGGAAGGACTTCTTGATCCTGCGCTCATCATTGCGAAGGCTCTGCCTTCAGACCTCCCGAAGCTCCACCTTCTGTTGTTGAGACAGGGTCTCTCTGTATCTCAGGGTAGGCTGGAATCACTGTGCAAGCCAGGTTCCCTCAAACTTGTGGCTCTTCCTGCCTCTGCCTCTGGAGTGCTGCGATCTCATGCCGAGTCACTGTGCCTGGCTTGTCCCTTTTGCTAGCCGCATGTCAGGAGTAGGGTTTCAGCACGAGGACTTCGGGGCACAGCGTGCATTGCCTGATCGTTGGTGATGGTCTTGTGTCCTGTCTTGGCCTTTCTCCACTCACTGAAATGCTGCCACGAGAAACCTGCTCCTGGCTCCCCTGCTTTATCCATGGTTTTGGTCATGTTATCAGGTACCAGATGGACCTAGAGTATTTAAATTTTGTATTACATTTATACATTTATTTATTTTGTGTATGTTTGTGGGACAGGTGTGCAGGCCACAGCATGTGTGGAGAGATCAGAGGTCAGCTTTCAGGAGTTAGCTCTCCTTCCACCACAGGGGTCCTAAGAAATGGCTGTAGTAACTGCAGCTTACAGATGAGGGTACTGAGGCAGGAGGTACCGGACCAGTTGGCAGCATGTAGGACGGAACTGCACATTGGAATGGAGAGAGAAGCTAGGCTGGAGGATGACGCTGAGAAGGCTGAGACAGGGTAGGGTGTTTGGGTCGGCCTGGGCTACATGGTGAGTTCAAGGCCAGCTTGGGGTATATAACAAGACCATTTCAAAGACAAGGGACAGAGAGCTTAACTTAGTAGCGTGCTTGCCTGGCAGCCACCAAACCCTGGGTTCAGTTCTTGCAGTGTGGAGCTAGAGAGATGACTCAGCAGTTAGGAGTGCTCACTGCTCCTGCCGAGGGCCTGCAACTGCAGCTGCCTGCAGCACTAGTTCCAGGGTACTCCATGGACACCTGGCCACTCTGGGTACCTGTACACATGTGGTGCACATAAACATGTGGACTAGCCGGGCGGTGGTGGCACATGCCTTTAATCCCAGCACTCGGGACGCAGAGGCAGGCAGATCTCTGTGAGTTCGAGACAGAGCTAGTTCCAGGACAGGCTCCAAAGCTACAGGGAAACCCTGTCTCGAAAAACCAAAAAAAAAACCAAAAAAACATGTGGACTAACACACACACATGAGCCTAAATAAATAAGCTCGGTCTTGCTGGTGCCACAGATGAGCTGCCACACGCCTGTAATCTTAGCTCTTGACTGGTGGAGGCAGGATTCAGAGTCGTCCTCTGCTACTTAGTGAGTTTGAGGCTAGCCTGGGCTACATGATACTCTGTCTTAAGAAAATGTAAATGAGGAAGAAGGAGCTGTGCTGCTGGTGTGAGAAGCCCTTCAGGGGAAGTCCTGACCCAGGCCAGCACAAATCCTTCTCCTGGATTGCTGGCAGCCTCAGGCCATCAGCAGAGCCTTAGAGGCTGGCAGAAGAGCTGTTCTGAGGATGCCTCTGCTGCACCCTTGCCATCTGCAGAGCCCCCTCCCCCAGCATGGCACCAGCCTCTCCAGGTGCCTCTTGGGCTCCTGCAGTCTTACAGTCATTCCTGGGTCCTCCGGGAGCCCAGTCGTGCAGGGCGCTCTGCTGCAGTGCTCCAGCAGGTGGCAGTGTTGCTCCCAGCAGCCAGCACTCAGTGCCTAGGGTGTTTGTGAAAAGTAGCCAGGACAGCGGGCTGTCCTCTTTCCTGATGCTGTTGTTTGTTTGGTTTAGAAACTTTTCACAGGGTTTTTGTAATTCAGGCTGGCCTTGAGAATGACCTTCAGCTTCCCCACCTCCTGCCTCCATCTACCTCCTGAGTGCTGAGATTATAGGCTTGTAGGCATGTTATACCACTTTTGGGGTTGCCCAAGCTGGCCTCAGCTATACGGAGCAGCCCCCAGTGCTCTTCTTTTCCTGTCTGGAGAGCTCAGGGAAGCACTGAACTTTGGGCTGCTTGTGTGCCTCAGGTCCTAGGCAATGGTTTCTTTTTTACCCTCCTGTGTTCGGCTTTTTTGTTTTTGATGACAACACTGCAGCCCTTCATGTTTTGGGGTTTGAATTTGGATTCTCCCCACCTCACAGGAAGCAACTGGACTTGGTTGGTCTAATGCTCCCCTCGCATGCACAGAGCCCTGGGTTCTAGCCCACCATGGTACAGACTGGGCCCGGTGGTGCAGGTTTATAGCCCCAGTGCTTGAGAGATGGGGGCAGGAGGATCTGAAGTTCAGCGTCATTCTCAACTGCTTAGCAAGTCTGAGGCCAACCTGGGCTGCATCCTTAACCCACACAGCCCCATTAATGGCTGGTCTCTGGTTCAGTTTCCAGGCTGAGAGGCCCGCATTGAACGTCGTCATCTTCCCCCTGCTCCACGAGGGCCTGACAGATGTCATCCGAGATGTCCCCATGGTGCACTTGGACGAGATCACCTTATTTAAAAGCAGAGTGGCTGAGGAGCCACCGAACTTGTGGTGGTGAGAGGTCTGTCTGGCCCCAGCCCCGCCACTCCTGCAGCAGAGCTTCTTCATGTCTGAGTCTCCACAAGGGTCCAAGAAACCAGGAGAGTGGGTCCTTGCCTTGTGACAGAAAGAAAGAGTTTGTGGTTGTTCCGAGACATTCACGCCAGTCCCCCAGGTTCCCTCTCCCTCTCAGGGGTGTGCTTGGGCATGGTGACTAGTGATGAGGTGACCATGACGGAGAGCAGTGGACGAGCCATCCTGGCCTTCAGGGCCTGGCCACACTCCCCAGTCCCCCCACTCACTTCAGTCTGGGGACTGTCCCTTTGTCCATGGTCATCTACAGTTGAGCTCAGTCATGTGATTGTGTCTACGTGGGGTCAGTGTGGGCCGGGCTCTCACTGTGACCTCCCCACGATGACATCTGTGAGCCTTTGGCTCCTTTCCTATTGACACTAGGGCATGGTCTAATGTGTGTGTGTGTGAGGCCCTGGGTTCCATCCCCACCCCAAAAAAGAAAATGTTTTAACCCAATGATGTCTCTGGGATGTTTTCAGCCTAATGATGCCTGTGCCAGAGGGTCCCCTGGGCAGGAACTGTGGGATGGCATCATTCCTGAGCTGAGCCTGAGGAGCTGGGCCTGTGTCTCGCAAGTGCTCACTTCTCCCCTTCGTTCCTGGGCTTCTGCTTAAAAACTCGAGGTGCTGTGGAGGTCTGAACGCTTCCTGGGAAGTCCGCACCCTCTGGCCTCAATAGAATAGCTAAAAACAGTGAAAGCCAGAGTGGGCATTACAGAGATTCACTGAGAGCCGTGGGTGCGACTTGAGTTAGAGGGTGTGCATGGACCGTGGTTTCTGACCCCAGCACCTTCATGGCGGCTCACACCTGTAATCACAGCATTCAGGAGGTCAAGGATAACTTGGGTTATCCTCAGGTATATAATTGAGGTAGAGGCTAGCATAGGCTACTTAAGACCCTGTCTTAATCTTGATAAACCAAAAAAGGAAAGAAGAGGGAGGACCCAGTGTTTGTGGCCTCACCCCATTCCTCACACTGGTGAGACTAAGAGTCTGTAACCCTAGAGGGGCCTGTGAGCCTGTAGACTCCTGCCTGGGCCTCTCTTGGTGAAGGGTCACCCATACACTGTGGGCATTGATCCAGGTAACTTCCAGTCGGGACACCTCAGTCCACGCAGGGCCAGCAGGCCTCGCGTGCTGCTGTGACCTTCACAGACTCAGCCTGCCCTGTCCCTGCCCATCCTTGGCTACTGGTCCTCCGAAGCTGTGGTCTCCTTGGCAACTGGTCCTCCGAAGCTGTGGTCTCCTCAGCTTCCCTTCTTGGTAAGGAGCGAGTGAACTGGCCTCTGGGCGCGTGCCCTGTGGTCTCAGGCAGGCTGTGCCTGGCAGCGGGAGCCTGTGGAGGCCTGGGGGCTTCTGACCTGGCTCTGGGTACAGCATTAGGGAAACAGCCCTCAGGCCCAGGCTCTGCCTGCCCCCTGCTGTTCTAGCCCCAGTGTTTAACATGGTCTGCAGTGCCAAGCCCTCCCTTCTCATCCAGTCTCTTGCCTGAGGGAATCCTCCCTCTCTCCCAGAGGGATCCTTCTGTCTGTAGGCTGATCCCAGGGGATATTCACCCCATCCCCGCAGCCCTTGCCTTCACAGACCTAACGTGCTTTCTGAGAGCTGTGAGCCTGTCTTACCTTTTCCTGGCATTGCAGGCCATGAGACCGGCTGCCAAGATTCCAGGGCAGACTGAGGGCCCACACAGCTGTAGACAAGGGTCCCAGAGGTGGTGGAACTCCTTCCCCAGTTTCTGGGTGTGTCTTTAAAGCATTAAGCTGACACCTGAAGGCTACCATGTAGGCTGTCCAGGACCAAGTGCTGCTTGTCCTTAAAATGAGACAAGCTGGTCACAGCCTGAGGGAGGCAGGTTGCTTGGAGGTGTCAGGTCCCAAGAGTCCTGTGATTTCTTCCTTTGAAGGAAGTTCCACTCAGCTGGGTGTGGTGGTGCAGGCTTTAATCCCAGCATTTGGGAGGCAGAGGCAGGTGAGTTTGAGGCCAGCCTGATCTATATCATGAGTTCTAGACCAGCCAGGGCTATATAGAAACCCTATCTCAAACAGCAACAACAATAAAACCACACAACAAAACAACAAACGGCAGCCCTGTTCAGACAGGAAATTACCTTTCTGCTGGGATTGTATCCCAAAGGCCAGAGCTGTCCTGTCAATCCTGTGGATAGGCAGGTCTTGGGAGCCAGCAGTTTTTGCTAGTGGCATCATTTGTATTCAGAAACTGGGCTGACAGGGAGGGGGCCTGGTTGCAGGAGGCTGGGGAAGCACCCTCAATAGTAGGCCTTGTATTCTTAGCATCTCTTGCAATAGTCCTTTGACTTCAAGTGAGAATTTTCTCTCCTTCTCCACTGAGGACAGGATCCACCAGATGTCAATAGCGTGCTTATTTTTGCTAAGTGCTATTTTGGCACCGGTGTTAATCGCAATTTATAGCCTGCAGCATTTGACGCTGGGAAAAGAACCCACCCTAATGGTCCCTGATTGGCAGGACTCGGCTGTTAAGTGGCAGACCATATGCTGCCTGCCGAGAAGACAGCGAGACGGTGAGTGCTCGTGCCTACGTACGGGTGTCTATGTGCTAGTGCGTGTGTGCGTGCGTGCTTGCGTGTGTGTGCACGTGTACCTACCTATAGGTGCGTATGTGCATGTATGTGCGCGCATGTGAGTGTACGTGTGTGTGTACCTGCATGTATGTGCACATGGGCTTGCTTCTTCTGGTGTGTGTTCTCTGTGTTGGAGTGAGAAGGTAGAGAGGAGGGAGAGTCTTTTGTAAACAGAAATCCCCTGACCTCCACAGCTACCTGTTCCCCTGCCTCCTCCCAGCCCTGGCTGCTCCTGCCCAGACCTTGTGTTCATCGATTTGTTCATTTTGTTTTCCAAGACAGGGTTTCATTGTGTAGCTCCGGCTGTCCTGGAACTCACTCTGTAGATGACCAGGCTGGCCTCTAACTCACAGAAATCCTCCTGCCTCTGCTTCCCAACTGCTACGATTAAAGGCGTGTGCCACCAGTGCCCAGCTAGTCCTTGTGTTTTATGTCCTGCTTTAATGCCGTATCTCCTAACCCTGTGGCTTGGCACATACCAGCAAGCCATATTGGGCTCACTGAGTGGCTTTTCTCATTTTCTCTCCTTTTAAAATTCTATGTGTGTATGTGTGTATGCAGGTCTGTGTGTGCCCCCACTCATGTGTTGAGGGCAGAGGACAATCTTTGGTGTCCCTTTTCACCCCCGCCTTGTTTGCTGCTGTGTACACTAGGCTAGCCCACCCATGGACTTCCCATCTCCATCTCCCAGCTTGTGATGGGAGTTCTGTGATGACCCATGTGCACCACCACTTCTGGGGATCTGAACTCAGGTCCTCACGCAACAAGTACTTTACCCACTGAGCCATCTCCCCAACTCGCTTTCCTGATCTCATAGGGAGGAATTTTATCGCCCAGAGTGAGGAGTGCTTTGCTCTTAAATGACAGGGTCAGGCTTTGTCCTGCAATTGGCTCTTGGAGGCCCTGTAACAAGGCCTCGAGGTCTAGGCCCAGGCTGTGGCCAGCAGAGGACTGGGCCCAGACACAATCCACTGGGTGTCTCTCACATTGGCATCCAGGGTAGATTCAGTGTCTGTCTACCGCATCAGACCCAGAGTTAAAAGCTAAGTTCTCAGCAAGATGATATGTAGGCCCAGAGAGAGGGGTCTGTGGGAAAGACAGGCCCAGGCAGTGGAGGAGTGAGTGCCAAGGGCCAGGCCTCTTGAGCCAAGGCTGAACCCTCGAGGAGGATGGACAGTCACCCTAACACCCCTTCCGAGAGATGCCAGTATGCCGCCTCCTCCTCCAGCCTTTGCTGTGACTTGCCCCTTTGAAGAGGTGGAAATTGCTGTCTCACAAGGAAAAAAGAAGCCAAGTGTGATGGGGAATGTGAGGTGGAAGCAAGAGAATCAGGAGTTCAAGGCCAGCTTCACCTATATATGAATTTGAAACCAGCCCAGGTTACATGAGACTATGCCTGAAGAGATGAGGGAGGGAGGGGGGAAAGAGAGAGAGAAATTTTGAATGGGGTCCTATACGCTGACCTCTTCCTGTGGATGTGACCAGTTCATTGGTAATTATTATTATTATTGTATTATTATTATTATTTTGGTTTGAGACAGTTTCTCTGTAGTTTTTGGTGCCTGTCCTGGAACTAGCTCTTGTAGACCAGGTTGGCCCCGAACTCAGGGAGATCCGCCTGTCTGCCTCCCGAGTGCTGGGATTAAAGGCATGGGCCACCACCACCCGGCCTGGTACTCGCAGTTATTAGCAGCACCCACTGCACTGCTGTAGGGGCTTTGTGACTGGTCTCATCTGCATTTGGGCCCGCAGGGCACAGTAGAAGTTGCTAGGCTCTTGTGTTACTACTGCGTGGAGTCTAGACCAGCCATGGGTCCTATGCTGGCTGCTCAGTCGTCACACCGTACATCTCTGGAGGCCCACCAGTGGGGGGTGCTTTTCTTTGAAAGCTCAGACCCACCAGGAGCTTGCTTGGCTGCACCTGCCCTGCCCTGCCCTAGCCAGACCTGGCAGGCTGCAACGGGTCAGGGAGACCAGCACTGCTGCTAATGCTGGCCTGGGATCTGCCTCAACCTGGGGGTGCAGACGGGGCAGGCTCAGCTCCAGCCAAAGCCCTGACCTCTGTGTTATGGGTTCATGGGTTGTTCATGGGTTGTTCATGGGTTGCTTTGCAAGGAATGTGTGTACAAACAAAGGTTTCCATAGCAGAAGTGTGCGTGCATCTGTAGGTGTGTCTGGTGTGTGCACACGCAAGAGCACGCGTCTGGGTAATGCCGCTTCTGACCATGACGCAGTGTGTGTGACTTTATTTGGCACCACCTCAGTTGAGTGTTTATTGTTTCAGGGCATGGAAGGCCTTGTGACCAGGTGCTAAGTGACCATTCCCCCCCTTTTGGTGACTGACTGCCCGGACTCCTGTCTATCTGGGAGAACTGCCTGTGTGGTTGGTATCTGGTAGTGACACACCCAGGTGTCACTGTGGTGCTGACAAACTGCATTCTGAATGGCTGTTTTTATGTAAATCTGTGGCATGTGGAAAATCTCAAATAAAATGAACTTGATTTAGAAAACCAGGCAGCTCTGTGGTCCTTCCACCAGGACTCTTGACTCTCCATGTGTGATCTGATTCATAGGCTCAAGGAGGGAGGAGGTTGCTTCATTCTTTTTTTTTATTACTTTTATGTGCATTGGTGTTTTGTTTTACCTGTGGAAGGGTACTGTAGTTACAGACAGTTGTGAGCCACCATGCGGGTGCTGGGAATTGACCCTGGGTCCCCTGCACGAGCAGTCAGCACTCTTAACTGCTGAGCCATCTTTCCAGTCCCTCTCCTTCATTCTTCTTTGAGACAGGATCTCAAGTGGCTGAAGCTGGCTTCAGATTTTACGTGTAGACAAGGTTGGCTGGCCTTGAACTCCCAATCCTGCTTCTGCCTCCCAGGTGCTGGATTACAAGCTCGTACCCACCATTCCTACCCGCGGATGTTAGTGTTGACCTTGACCTCAGTGGAGCCTGTGGCAAGAACACCTTCACTGACCTCCTCTGGGCTAGTTGGGCTTCTTTATAACACGGCTGCCAAACCAAAGCACAGGTATCCCCAGAAAAGCAGCAAGATCTGTTCAGCTTTAGCTCTCTCCGTCCCTGTCACCTCCACCCTTGACGGGCAGTCCCCGGAGTCCACCACATTCAATAGAAGCGCCCCCCACCCAGTACCCAGGGGCTGTGGGGGTCTCCTCGCAGAAGACCTGGCGGGGCAGGAGGTAGTACTGTGCCCATGTTAGGAAGGGATCTCTACACCTTGGGCGGTTCAGCTCAGCAAGGCAGGGGCTGTGGCCTGTGAGAGATGTACATGGGGGAGCCTTGCCTCGTTTTGGAGAGGGCTGACATTAGTGCATGCCTCCCTTAGCCAGTGTCTGTCTGTGGGGCCCACTGTCTGGCAGCTGTGGGGCCGTGGGCTCTTAGGAGCAGTACCTTAGGTATGCTACCCTTAGAGCTGGCTAGAGGGCGAAGCCACCTGACTTCTGTTTGTAGAAAGAAAAAGCCAGTAGTGCATGGGAGGCAGAGGCAGGCAAACCTCTGTGAGCTGCAGTCCAGCCTGCTCTACAAAGGGAGTTCCTATTACACAGAGAAACCCTGTCTAGGCAGGAGAGTTGGCCCAGTTTTTAAGATCACTGGCTGTTCTTCTAGAGAACCAGAGTTTGATTCCCAGCACCCACGTGGGGACTCACTGTCATCTGTAACTTCAGTTCCAAGGGATCCAATTCCCTCTTCCGGCCTCCTCAGGCAGTGCATCCATGTAGTGCCCAGATACACATACAGCCACATAGACAGCACACATAAATAAGGGTTGGGTTGTAGAGATGGGCCTGTGGTTAAATGGCCTTGTTGCTCTTGCAGAGGCCCTGGGTTTGGTTCCCAGCACCCAGCACAGTCATCTGTAAGTCCAATTCTAGGTTCTTTGACGCTCTCTTCTCACTTCTTTGAGCACTAAGCACACATGTGGTACACAGGCATGCCTGCAGGCAAAACACTCATACATGGGGCTAAAGAGATGGCTCAGTGGTTAAGCGCACTGCCTGCCCTTCTGAAGGTTCGGAGTTCGGTTCCCAGCAACCACATGGTGGCTCACAACCATCTGTAATGAGATATGGTGCCCTCTTCTGGCCTGCAGGCATACATGCAGATAGAATACCGAGAATACTGTATACATAATAAATAGATTAAAAAACCACTCATACACATAAAATAAGACAAACTATAAAAATAATAAATCTTGGGGAAGGGGAAAGCTGAGTGTGTTGTGATAACAAGAACTCCCACAGAATCTCTGCCAGAACCACAGCCTTCATAAAGGAGCCTCAGACATCCTGTCCAAGGACGTCCATCTGATGTGTGTAGCTTCGGACGAGCGTAACCAGAGTTATCCCTGTGATCAGGGACAACTGTGTTTAAATAATTTGTGTGTCCTCATTTTACCTCAAACGGTCTCCCTTTAGTGCTGGGCATCGTTGATCCCTAGGCAGTGACCCTCCTGAACTGGAACTATAAGGATAAAAGAAGGCCAGGCGATGGTGGCACACGCTTTTTATCCCAGCACTCGGGAGGCAGAGGCAGGCAGATCTCTGTGAATTTGAGGCCAGCCTGGTCTACAGAGCAAGTTCCAGGACAGGTACCAAAGCTACACAGTGCTGGGATTATAGGCGTGTGCCACCACTGCCTGGTGGCAAGGGCTCGCCTTTCCTTTCTGTGCTGGGTGTTTTGTCGCAGCGACAGAGATGAAGCTGTAACAGTGGTACGCCCTGTCTGTCAGCTCAGGACTTGGGAGGTGGATACAAGGGGATCAGGAGGTCAAGGGTAGTCAATTGGAGACTAGCCTATGCTATACAAAACCACAAGTAACAAGGCAAAACAAGATAGATGATTTCATTTACTGTCTTTTGAATGCACTCATTGTTTTTATGACAGGTGTATTCCACAAGCAATCTTTCCTGCTTCATTTCCAGATAAATATTATAACTTTGTTTTTGTGTGTTGTATGTGGTTCTAGTGGTGAAAACCAGGTCCCTGCATGTGCTATATAATTGTGATAATGCTTAGCTCTGCCCTCAGCCCCTCACTGGGGGATTCTAGGCAGGGGCTCTACCACCGAGCCACACCCCAGCCGTCAGCTGAGAGTCCTGTTTATTTAAAGACATTTCCCTCTCATTCTTCAGTGCTCTATTCTGCCTGTGTGTGTGTGTGTGTGTGTGTGTGTGTGTCCTCTGCCCACCTCCCGAAGGCATCTGACCTTAGGTTTGTGGGGTTCCAGGAAGGTCATCATATGTGCACACACCCAGGGTCCTCTAATCAGAGGCTAACCAGTGCCAAGCTCGTGATACCAGGGCAGATAACAAGGACAATGGATTGTATTTATTGAGCACCTACTGAGTGCAGGGTGCTATACCGAATACTTCTCATCATTAACCTACCCTATAAAGAAAAAAAAAGCATTTATGTGCCAAGGGCTGAGACGAGAAGTTAATAATGATCAGGTCCCTAGACCACCCCACCCCAGGCTAGATGCTATCTGCCCCTCAAAACCGTGTCTCAAACAAGTTAAGGCAAATACTACTTATATGAGCATGCTCTGGCTGGAGAGATGATTCAGCTGTTAAAGGCTATGCTCACAACCAAAAATATAACAGCATGCTCAGGAAATCAGTGTTAGCCCCTCATCACCTGTGAAAGTGGTAAAATTAAAATGTTAGGCCATGGAGAGATGGTTCCGTCAGTAAAGTGAGCATAAGAATCTGAGTTCAGGGGGCTGGAGAGATGGCTCAGCAGTTAAGAGCATCGCCTGCTCTTCCAAAGGTCCTGAGTTCAATTCCCAGCAACCACATGGTGGCTCACAACCATCTGTAATGAGGTCTGGTGCCCTCTTCTGGCCTGCAGGCATACATACAGACAGAGCATTGTAAACATAGTAAATAAATAAATTAAAAAAAAAAAAAAGCAGGAGCCGGGCGGTGGTGGCGCACGCCTTTAATCCCAGCACTCGGGAGGCAGAGGCAGGCGGATTTCTGTGAGTTCGAGACCAGCCTGGTCTACAAGAGCTAGTTCCAGGACAGGCTCCAAACCCACAGAGAAACCCTGTCTCGAAAAAGAAAAAAAAAAAGATTTATTTATTTATTAAGCATACAATGTACTGCTGGCAAGGAAGGCACCAGGTATCATGACAGATGGTTGTGAGCCACCATGTGGTTGCTGGGAATTGAACTCGGGACCTCTGGAAGAGCAGCCAGTGCTCTCACCCTCTGAGCCATCTCTCCAGCCCCTACATAATAATTCTTAAAAAAGAAATATTCACCCCCAGGGCTTTTGAGATGAACCTGTAGGTAAAGGCACTTGCTGCCAATCCTGACGACCTGAATTCAGTCCCTGAGACCTACGTGGAGAGACTCAATTCTGAAAAGTTGTCCTTGGAACCTCACACACTTGCCATAGTATAAATTCAAGGCCAACTCAGGGTACAGTGTGAAGTCCTAAAAACTAAGCCATTGCCAGGCAGCGGTGTAACATGCCTTTGATCCCAGCACTTGGGAGGCAGAGGCAGGAGGATCTCTGTGAGTTCGAGGCCAGCCTGGTCTACAGAGCAAGTTCCACAACAGCCGGGAATGTTACACAGAGAAACCTTGTCTTGAAAACAACAAAAACTAAGCCATTGAAAAGAATAGCCAGGGATTGCATGTGTATCCTGAAAAATCTGTCTGTCTCTGCCTCTCTGTCTGTCTGTTTCTCTGACGTCTCACTAGGTAGCCCTGGCTAGCCTGGAACTCACAGAGATCCTCATGTCTCTATCTCCCAAGCGCTGGGATTAAAGGAGCACACCACCATGCTTACCCCTTTTAGCAGAGCAAACGCAGGTTTATCATAAAGATAGAAAGTTCCTGAGAGTAGGAGGAGCTCCACCATCTTCCCACGCTCAGGCTCTCCTCCTGGACTCCAAGCACCATGAGCAAAGAGGCCCTGGGAAGCTGCCTTCCTCCCGGGGAAAACCCGCACAAGGAATCCAGGGCCCTCCTCCCCAGAATGCGCCTTGCTCTGTTGCTCTGGCAACCAGTGCCTCCTTATCAAGCTGCAGAGAAATCCTGAAGGCCCCACCTGTTTTTCAGTTTGTGATTTAGGGCTCTGGTTGTTTTTAATTGTAGGAAGTGAAATGAACAGTGCTCACTCCCTCTGCAGGAGAAAGATAAAGCCAGAATCCGCCAGAGCGCGCGCTGTCTGCTGGGAAGAAATCTCTTTCAACTCGCGGGCAGTTTTCCATTGAGGCTCCGGGCGGCAGTGAGGGAGCTGGCAGTACACGTGGTGACAGACTCGGATGGAGGAACTGCCATTTCAAGGGGGTCCTCTCCCCATCAGGGAAGGCTGGTTCCTGGCCAGCCCAGCATTCTGTCAGGCTGGGGACCTAGAGATCCAGGGACTGAGGCTAAAGCCCTTGTGTCTCCCTGCCCCAACCTTTCTCCTCTGCACTCCACTGGGCACGGCAAGCCCGAAGCTTGGACATGGACAGGATGGGGCGG